CATGGATGACTTGCAAATTCAAACTTCGGCTCGCATTTGATCGAATTTTACAAATTTAAACAAAGTGCATGCGTGGAGACATTGAGACAATAGAAGCTTCTATGTAAAATAAGAAAAACCAAAAAGAATGAGCACTGAGTGTAGAATAGCTGCATTTGGAAGCAATAGCTCAAAGTTTGGCATGCCTTAACAACAAAGACAGCACCAACTCCCACGTGGTGAACTCCAAAGTCAAGCTGATGCGGCCATGGAAGAAAGCTTCCATTTCAACCATTTCCATTTATATATGGGAAGCTGGCTACTCACCAACATCGGTACTTGTATGTGCCTTGGTGATTTTACTAAAAAGTGGAAGCAAAGGAATTCTGTTTAGAAGGCTGCAGAGGGAAGGAAGGGGAATGTAGTCTGGCACGAGATGACTGTTAAACTGAATGGCACAATGAGTTTGCGAGTTTTCTCGGACCAGGCTTCATTCCCTTCACCAAACCTGTAGATGCAACTCACTTTCATAAAAGGTACATGTATCATTCCTTTAGAACAGGCAACCTTCTTGTTTTCCTTTTCTTCCATGATTGGATTTAATTATCCACATGCCTAGACCCAAGTTAGTAACCATTAACATGAAATTACTTGCTTAAGAAATGAGGGTAACATTATTTTTGTAAGAGCCCTTTTAGATGCCTAGATTTAGTAGAATGAGATTTTAAATACTTCATTTGCCTATTAGGCCTATCTTGCCTTCCTCCTAATATGGTCCAGCTTGTTGTGAGAGTAGAATGAAATTGCATATTTGAATTTTCACGGGCACCTTTCGCCAATGTGCAGTATGTTGGTGAAAGGTTCTATATTAATTTGCAACTAGTAGAATTTAGCTCATTTCTTCCTCTCCTCTTCTTCTGTCTCCTCCTTCTCCTTCTTCCCTCCACATGTTTGATTCCACAACTTAGTTATATCACTTTAATTTTATATATTTCATTAGTTTGTATGAATAGCGTGTTGTTGAATGATTAAGACTTGCTACTACTCATTTTTCTATATTTTGTATTTTCTTTCTCTTCTTTTTTTTCATGCAAATAATGTGATTTGAATTAGAATTATGTTTGATCCTTATTCCATTTCTTGTTGTTTTGCAAGATTTTAGATGTTGTTTGGATTAGTATTCATCTTCATATATTCAAGAACTAACCATATCCACTTTCTATTTTTCCAAATAAGATCAACTAACAATTTGAATTTATATTTGTAGGTACATAAATTTCAAACAAAATTTTATTTTGAGGTATGTCTCTCTTGTTTATGTTTAAATAAATTTTACTTTGAATTTTGAATTATAACATGATATATATTCCAAAATTTAAAATTATCGTTTAATTTTGCTAAATTTTGAAAAATGTCTTGAATTTGAAGTACATTGGTGTATGTTTTTTGAATATTTTGATGAAATCCCATGGTTGTTATATTGTTTTGCATAAATTCTGCCAAAATTGAATATGAATTTTCTTACAAATTCAATTTTGTTTCAATTTAATTCAATTTTAGTTTATAATTTTTTTTTTCAGTATAAAATTTTTTATCAACACCTTGCAAATCAATGAAGTTTTTACCAACGTAGTGCACGCTGATGATTTATTGAAATAATTTGATTTTTGGAAAGAGAGTTCAATATTGAAATTGGAGTCATTTGAAGCAAGTGTGGCAAGAAAAGAAATAATAAAGCATGGTAAATGTTGTTTTTAAAATCATTTTTTCAATTGTATGACAGATAATTTCAAAATAAATAGAATATATGGTGCTTTTTAATTAATTTGTAAAAATAGATATTAAAAATATAAATACTTTTTAAAAAAAAATTTAATATAAATTACATACAAATTTATGTTATATAAGTATTTAAATATTCTTTTATAATAAAATTTGTTAAATACATTTTTGATACTTTTATAGCTTGAGCCGCACTTTTTTTGTTGTCATCTAGATTGAAAATTACCATTTGTACTTTTCTTATTTTTTCTTGTTGATGCATTACCCAAAGAAAGAAAATTACAATTCATTCTTTGTTCGGGATTCGATGCCCAGCCCTACCTCATGGTACATTGTTGGGGCGCTTTCGTTTAATTTTAGTTGTTCAAGCTGACCGGAAACATTTTTGTATTATTTATTAAAAGTAAAGGGTTTTGACCATCTTTATCCAAGGAAAAAATATATGCATTGAACCTGAGCAGGTCCTAACAAGAATTGCTATTTTTTTAAGAAAATTGTTAAATAATTCTTTGTGGATGTTAAAGGCGGTTTAATTAAAATTAAATAGAACTCCCTATTTTTTCTTTTTCCTTTTTGAATTTTTTTGTAGAAACACTTTCAAAATTGTTCAATCAAAACAAATATACTACTAAAAAAAAGGGGGGCAAAACAGCCTTCCAAATTTTCCACCTCAAAATTTCCACAGAAAATTAACAGATGGTATCAAATGTCACTTTTCCATTACTACTTGCATAGCATTTTAGGTTGATAATTACAAGAAAATTAACAAAAAAAATTTCACTTTTCTTTCTTTGAGAAGAAAATTTTCACATTTTTTAAAGAGGCAAAATATATATAGGAATGAGAAAAATACTCCAGAGAAAAATAATGATGATAAACAGGACTAAAATCTGAAACTAAAAGATGAGACTAATAATGTTACGTTACGTCATTTAAATTATTAAAAGATAAATTTTATATTATTTAATAATTAATTTTTTTGTTTTCTTGAAACTTATGATGTTATATATCTCAACAAATTTAATGATATAATATAAATCATGTAGACATCATTGGCCCCAAATTTTTGTTACCTATTATTATTCAAAGAAAAAGTAGGGGAAGTTTTATTAAAGATTAAAGACAATTGAAGTTTCCTAAGTATGAAAAATTGTCCATTTTCTTTCTTCTACATTATTTTTGTTCATTATCATCCTCCTGCTCGTTTTATTTTTATTTTTATCCAATACCATTGCTCTACTCCATGATTTACACTTATTTTTATCCATAAACTAACAGTATTAATACTGACCCAACTAGCTAAAGTGTCTAAGATTTTAAGTTAAAAATTTTAAATTCAAATTTTAAGTCATTTAGAAAAGAGAAAATGTTATACCCTTTGTTATAACCAATTATCATATTAATGCCATGTCATAAAAAACTACTCCCTTCGTTAGATTTAATTGTCCCAGTTTGATTTTTAGATAAAGTTTTTTAAAATTATTTTATAAAATAAATAGATGATAATTGAAAATTTTTTTCCTTATGTAATTCTTCTTCAGTATTTTCACTTAAATCAAAAAAATTTTAATTATCATCTATTTTTTTGTATAAAATCATTAAATTAATTTATATAAAGTCGATGGATTTAGGACTACTAAAGAAGACTAGAAGGAGTATGAATTTGACCTATAAATCTAAGTATTATATTGTTTTTCAGTTTTTGTAACCTATGCATTAATATAGATTAAGGGTATAATTAATATACTATTTTGTAATTAATTTATATAAAAAAATAAATGTTAGCACTTAACCCTTTAAGTTTAGTGACATTAATCATACTGAATAGATGTACCCCTTCCCCTCTTAAGTGGGTTTGATCCCGTCTTATATCAAATTATTCAAAAAAAAAAAATAAATGTTAATTTTAATTTAATTTAATTAACTAATCAATTAAAATTATAATGTGTTACTAGTGTTAAAATAAAAATCAATTTTTTATAATTTTATATAAATTAATTAAAAATAATATATTTATTACACTTTTAATATATTTTATAAAAATATAAATTAAACAAACCCATTATTTTTATTTAATTTCTTTATCTTTTCGTTTTTTTTTTCTTTTTAAATTGTTTTCTCTGTCTCTCCCATCTCCCTTTCTCTCTCTCTCTCTCTCTCTCTCTCTCACTTTCTGGTACAGTGAAGGAATATTTGAACTGCACTGCACGCCGACGCTAACCAAGTTGAACTGAAGAAGTTTGAACTAGCTAGTCTGAACTGAACTTTTCACTTCAGACTATTGACTTGTACATCAGACAAGCCTTAATGATATAGGCACTACAGTTTTGCAACGTGGACATCATCTTCTTAGGGATGTAAATACCTTTCAACTCCCACATTTAAGGTGCATTTATTGTTTTTATTTCTCTCTCCACAAAGTTTTGCTTAAGATAGACTAAATATTGTTGACTTGACAAAGTGTCCATCCAATGAACAACCTCCAGTCTGTTTTGCAAGACATGTCAGATGAGTTGGAGAGCTCAAATCTTAGCAAGATGAGCTGAAGAGCTCAAGTTTAGCAGGCTGAGCTGAAGATTAGAAAGCTTAAAGTGATTAGATCCGTAGTCAAGAAAACTAGAATCAACATAAAACTAATGTGTACGGTTACACTTACCTAAATCTCTCAATATATCTCAATATATCTCAATGAACGATTATCTTTACAAAATTGTCTTGTGATTGCCTCATAAAAATTAATGGGTTTGCAAAATTTTTTAATGTTTTACTGTTGGAATAGTAAAATAAGAACTTTTTTTTTAAGATAAAGAAAGTAGTTATTTAGATATAGAAAATACTTTTCTTAAGTATGTTTAATTTTAAAGAAATCAAAGAAAAAAATTTTAATTTTTTATCTAATTAAATTATAATATTTTTAAATATTATAATTTAATAAAAAAAATCATCTACTCTACTTACTTTCAAACTAAACATATACTTAAATTGAAGAAGTTCTCGTGACCTACAAATCACTTCTTCATTGTAAAAAATTTTTCATACAGAACTTAACAAGTGTAAAGTTTAACTCCCATCTTAACATTTAAACAGAAAAAAAAATAAATAATAATAATAATAATAAAACATACACTTAAATTGGCCAATGTTCAATGTCATAATTTTGTCGAACGTATCCTATTTTGGAATTTCACTTTTTATCTTGCTTTCCTCATTAAGCCAAGCGAAGAACACGCGGCAAATTAAAATCAGAAGAAAATCGCCGAAAAGAAGGCATTTGCAACTAGAAAATCAGAAAGGGAGAAAGAATGGCGTTGCAATGGATGATACTGACGTATGTGGTGGCAGCCGAGGCCGCTCTGGCGATCCTCGTCACTCTTCCGTCGCCGAAACTCGTCAAGAAGCGTTTGGTCTCTCTTGTCTCTGTTCTCCTCCAGCCTGCCCTCTTCGTCGTCCCCTTTGCAGGATTCCAGATTTTAGGTTTTGTGCTTTTTCCCTCTCTATTATCTAGGGCATTAATGTTCTTTGATTCGCCTGATTGAGATTCTGGTTGATCCGTTCAGATATCTACTGGAAGAATGAGCATCGCATGAAGTGTACTTCTGAGATCTGCACTGCTGCTGAGAGAGATCGTTTCGAGAAAGCTGTAAGTTTTGATATTTGTTTTCTCTTGGAATTTTGTTTTCTAAAACAAAATTATCGATTAGGTTGTAATTGTTTAGATAACAATAAATGCGGTAAATTTTTTTTCCCTTATAAAGAATTTGCTGGGTATGTTCCATGAGTTTTGATGGAAGTTCTGTTAATCGTTGGAATTTAGCAGCATCTTTATCTTAATTTAGGAATTAATTTGAGAATAGGCAAGTTTAACTAAAGGAATTTAATAAAATTCTGAAAGGCAAACAGCAAACTTACAAAATTATGCAAACTTGAGGTTTAACTTTGGGAAATTTTCAATTTTGTTGGAGCTTGTATTGTGGGAAATCAAAATCTAATCTCTTTTGGGTGAGAATTTGATTCTAATTGGACATAGGGGCAGCATGACTCATAGTGCAGTCACTGTGTTGTGTACTGTAAAGTATGGGAATTGGAAATGGAACTCTTCACGAGTTAGTTGTTTGAAGCGTTTTAACTGGATGGATACTTGATACCTATTTATTTGGTGTTGTATATGTCAAAATGTGAAACAAATCTAATGATCCTTTCTTGAATGATTTGTAAGTTTTGATTTTAGTTTTTACCCCCAAAATTTTGATTTTAGTTAAATGACTGAATTTTTCTATGCCTCTGGTGATTTAAGGTATGAACTATCAAATATACTCTAAGTCCATATGCATGGTTGAATGTTTTAGTTTTGGTCTTGTTTCCTGATTTGTCAAAGGATTAAAAATCTTGAATTGGTTATTCTATAATCTTAAATTGGTCAATCCTGAAGTTTCTCGTGTTTGGCAAGTCAAGAGAGATTATCAGAAGCAATTGTCCTCTACTTCTAAAAAAAATAAAATAAATAAACAAATAAATAAATAAATAAAGTTCCTGGGGAAGGTTTAACAAAGAAATCTGTTCCCTGTCTAGTGAATAAAATTTCTATTTCATTTTTCATCCTCTGTTCCTTTGCCTTGCTTGTTCTCATATAGTTTATTATTAGTTTATGTTCCACATGGTATATTTTTTAATTAAACAATTGTGGATCTCTGATATAAGCATGACTTTGATGAAAAAAGTAAAAAAGCCATAATTGTGAGAGAGAGAGAGAGAGAGAGAGAGAGAGAGACCGGGGCAGGGAGAGGGAGAGATCGAACAATTTCGTTTGCCACATGCAAAGCAGGACCATTTTCTGTTTATATCTTTTGATGGATTTACTTACTGGAAAACATGGATATGACTTCTTGATTCTGCCAAAAATCCCTTAGTGCTATTTGATATAAAGGAGGGGAAGTATGTGATCTTTCTTAATGATAGGGAACTGTTGACTATAGATATTTGCAGTGCAGTGTCTTTCCTTGCTCCTTAAATTTGTAGAGATTAGCTATCTTACATTGTAATTGCAGACAGTCTGCATAGAGCTTCTCTATTATTATTTATGAAGCATTCATTTAGAAAATCATTACAAAGCGTTCCATTATTAGTCATAACCTTTATGAAGAAAGAAAATTCAAGCCTTTTTTTACAAAAAAAAAAAATCCTTTTCTGTTGAGGTCTCGTATTATTTCACCCTATTACTTATCTGGATTTGGGATGCTTTTCAGATCTTCAAAGCTGAAAGAAATGTGATCTTGTGTGCAACTGCCTGCCTTCTTTACTGGTAGGTGACAAACAACCTCTTCTTGAGAAACACGCTACGGAGTCTCAACTTTTAACTTACATCATGTTTATGGCAAAACAATTTATGGGGTTCTGATGTTTGTGCAGGTGCATCTACCGCATTTGTAAGTATAACAAGGAGCTTGAGAGTTTAGAGGAAGTGGAGAAGAGATACAAGGATGAGTAGTTTTTCTGACTTCTGAATCGGATAACGACAATAGAGCTGGTTTTGTTTTTCTAATTTATTTTTTTTAATCTTGATAAACACTCTCTCTGTCTTATGTTGGGAATATTGTAAACAAAATTTAATTGCAATGTTTACTTTGACTTTTGTTTTGAATGTTAAACTTCCCCTTCCAATTTTATAATTTTATATTCTGGTGCTCTGAAACCTATTTATGGTTTGAAAGCTTCATATTTGAACAGATCAAATTTACCAGAAAAAAAAATATATATTTGAACAGACCAAACAAACAGTCCTACAATCACCTTAGCCTTTGCACGTTTGAATGCGTCAATACCATGACCCAACCGCAGCTGCAAGCTTTAGAATTAGACCAAGGTCCATCTCTCACGGAATTCATACTTTACGTGTTCCCTTTGAATCCTTCTTTACCAAGAAATATTGGCCAACGGTGAATTTTTCTCTGGGTATATAGATATACATAATTATAAACTGTTCTGCTTAATTAATACGTTGAATCATCAAAATTTTAAAATACATTGAATTCTTTAGTTATTTGTGTAAGAAAACGGCTCTACCTAGGATTTCCTTTCTCTCTCTCTCTCTCTCTTTTTTTTTTCTTCTTTGAAAGTTGGCAATTTAGCTAGAATTCTCTTAACAGAAACTATTTTTAAATTAAAAATAATTATAATATTACGTAATATTATAAATTTATAATATAATATATTATTAAATAATTATTTTTTATTTAAAAATTTAATTATAATATTAAATTTATTTATTTATTTAATAATATATTATACTGATTTAATAATATATTATAATTGTAAGTTAGATGACATTGTAATTATGGTACTGCTTTTTTTCAGCTGGAACCGGCTAAAAAACAGCTAGTCATGGTTAGAATGTCAACTTTATCATCAATGAATGTGATGGGAATTGATAACTTTACCATCAATGAATGTAAGGAGAAGGAAAGAAAGTGGGGGCATAATTGTTATTTTAGTTTGGTATTGCCCCTAAGGCCTAAATTGCACCATTACAAAACTAGAACCATGAGATGGAGGAGGGTCTGTCCCTATATCAGGAGACCCACCCCAACTGGTGATTAAGTGTTGTTTTGCAATACCACCAAATTTGTTTACGCAAGTTATTGGAGATAACAGAGTTATAAATCATAACCATAATCAAAGTATCAATGTCTTGAAAGTAGTTGACAGCAACACCCATTAGCTTTTCCTGTACGTCAATCAGGCCTAAGGTTTCTTGGGCATTGTTGTCTTTTTCTTTTTTTTTAAAATACATTAACAATGAGTTCTATAATACAAATAGTGCTTCACTTCTTTTTTTTGAAACGAATAGTGCTTCACTTCTTAAATCTCTTTTAATCTATTTTAAAATTTAAAATTAAGAGTTTACATATAAAAACTGGAGTTCTTAATTAGCGGAGTGTACTCAGAGACGCATTACCATCATTGTTTGAGAATGAAGTTAAACAAATTGGTTTAAACATGCATGATTGACAAAGAACCTATACATGCTTTTCAAATTTTCATAACGTGATTGTTATTCTTCCTCGTGGAAGAAATCTCGACACCTCACATCCCATTTCTTCACCAACTTGTACGGTACAAAAACTTGTCTGTGGAAATTGAATTACTATCTCCACATGAATGTAATTCAACATGAACACAAGAAAATAAAGAATAAAGAATTTATTGATATTATTCTTTTTTCCTCAAAACGATCTATTGAGATTCTTGAAATCTGCAGTTTCTATGCATTCTAATCCAGCTCTGTAAGGATTGAACAGCTTCAAAAGCTCTGTCGCCTTCTCCTTCGTGTCATCCCCACATCCAACCTGTAAGAGCAGCAACAGTTTCTGAAATGCACCAACTTGAAGTGCTTCAATTAAAACCCTCCCTTCATGTTTCTTTTCATATTTGCTGAGTTTCCATATTGTCGAAACAGAGTATTCAGTTGCCAATCCTGGTACTCTCAGAATTTTCTTAACCAAAACAGGGATTGTTAAGGCATTATCGTATGCCTGTTCTCTCCCTTCTTTGAAATCGCAGAGTTGATGAAGAACACCTAATGCCTTCTCGCACATGCTCTTCTCGGATTCCATGATGATTTCCAGGACTGAGGAAACCAAACCCAATTGGACAAATTCGGATTTCATATTCTCATTTGGAGAAGAAACCAAGTGGAAGATTACTGTGAGAGATGCTTTTGTGATTGAAGGGGAAACGGGTTCTTTGATGAACTTGAATAGGATTTCATTGACCCCATCAATGGCGGCCAAGGACTCTCCGTGCCGCTGGTCGGCACTAAGAAGCTCTTTCAGGGCAATCATGGAGTTCTGTTTCACGGAAATATCGCTGCATTTCAGAAGCCACACCAGGGAACGCAAAGAGGCATTCGATCCCAAGAATTTGCAAGACTCCTCGTCCAGTGGATACATCGAATTCATCAACGATAGTATTTCATCCAGCAACATGGCGTTTCTCTCAAATGAATCGATTGCGAATGCGTCATACGCAGCTGCAAGCACCGGTGCCGCCCCGTTTGCCACTATACACCGGCGATTCCGTTCGCTTTCCATACCCCAATCCTTGATTTTCTGCACTGAATCTCGACACCCCACTTGATCCAACTGATTCCTGGACTCAGTAATTCTTGACAGAATCTCGGAGACCTCAGCAGAGGTGACTGGAATTCTGGGTGTTGGGATCCGTTCAACCCCGAAATTCCGATTTTCTACGCACCATTCTTGAATCATTCTCCTGAGAGAATGATTGGGTATCTGATCAAAACTTCTGAGCACCTGACTGGTAACAGGGCAGGCGAAGTTCCCATCCTCAAGCCACTTCTCGATACTTTCTCTATCATAAGTGATCCCAGAAGACAATGTCACCGGATCTTTCATGAGGTCAAGGGATATCGGGCACCGGAAATGTCCCGGAATTTCAAGCTCCTTTTTATGGATGTTGTCCTGCTTCTGGGATTTCCCTTTTCTTCTTCTCCAACCAAACATCATGCAGGGATAGAAACAATTCTCCAAGAAAGCAAGTAATCTAAGGGTAGATAATTAAGAAAAGCGGTTTAGTAGGTGGAGTTTAAGAATTAAGTTAGAGGATTATATAATGGGTTGAAGGTAGCTGTATCTCTGCACACGGAGTTGAAATTGAAATAAGAAGAAGAGAAACATTCAAATTGAATGCTAGAATGAATGAAGAGAAGAGTGTTTTATGGGGTTTGAGATAATTGAATTTTGACCGTTGAAATATTGAAGCCAGTTTAAGATCCTAACCGTCAAAGGGGAAATGGTGGGAAATGGTAAAAGAGTTGGCATTTTCAAGTCTTGCACGAGTAAACAAAAGCAGAGTGTTTGACTTAAATTACTTTTTTTTTTTTTTTGCCATTTCTTAAATTATTTTTTTGGGTGTATTATACTTTTATATAAAAAAATTATTTTATAATTTGAATGGTTTTAAATTATAAAATAATAATTTTTAATGAAAAATGAGACCTTTCAATATTAAACTTTTTTTTATCTGAAAATTTTTAATTTATAATTTAAAATAATTTGAATGGTAAAACAGTAAATGCGTTTATAATAATAATAAAAAAAAGGAACAGAAAATAATTTGGGTTTCTGGTTGTGACGTGCTGACCAGAATTTTACGTCACAATAAGCATCATGTTGTAACATTAAAAAATGAAAATGATAAAGTTAAAAATGTTTTTTTTTTGTACGATGATTTATAGAATATGACTGAGTATTTTATTATTTTAATTTTTTTTATCCGAAAGTTATACGTGGATGTCAACCACCTCGTGATTTTCCCTTCAAGTTCTTTTTTTTTTTTTTTTTTTTTTAATTCAATCCACAGCTTTTATGGTAGCGTTTGGTTTGCTGGGAAAGTAAAGGAATGATGAAATAATTTAGGTGGGAACAAGAAGTGTTATTTTGCTGCCAGGTTAGATGTGGTAGAAGGCAAGGATTAATAATTAAGAAATTAATAATAATAACTCAAAAGCCCAAAAGAGCACCTGCCAGTTTAGCTGCCCTTGATTAAGGTGAATTAAATTTTTATCAAACACCACAATTTTACTTGCTGCAATAGTAGTTAAATTATCTCTCTTCTCCTAAAATTCCTCATTTTGATAAAATAAAATAAAATAAATTAAAAAAAAAAACTCAAAAGCCCAAAAAAGAGTTGTTTGCACCGAATTTTCTCTCTTTTGCCATTTCCAGTTGGTTAGTGATTCCTAGTCCTTTTGCGTTGGTCTCTATTTTGCTCTCTCTTGGCATTTCTGTTAGCTATCGATTCCTACTCCTTTGCGGTGGTCTCAAATGGCATGCCATAAACTAAGTTCGGTGTAGTTCGTGTTAACCAAAGCAGAAGCACAGGAGCATCATGTGATCGACATAAAAGGCAAATATGGATCTCAACTTTTGACTCATTTTCCAGTTAAGGATTTCAACTTCAATTTTTTCTACCGGAGTCATTGCCTGTAAATTAAAAACGGAAGATTACAAGTTATAATATTAAGATCATGTTTAGTGAAACTTGTAATAGTTTTTATTTTTTATTTTTTTTGTATTGTTTATAAGTGATAAGTTTAAATTTTTATTAGAGAAAAAATTTAAAAGTTGTTTTTAAAAATTAAAAAAAAAGTGAATAAGAAATGAGTAAAAAAGAAATTTATAAAAATTAAAAATTTAAAACTTTTCAAAATTTACTGTTTAAAATCTTTTTAAAGTTAAAAAAAATTAAAAAATATAAATTTTTAAGAAAAAAATTTTAATTTATGAAATATAAATAGTGTCAAAAAACTGAAATTCTTATTAGTTTCACCAAATATGCTCTAAATGAGATTACAAAAAATTAAGATGTATTGATAATTAAAATATCATAAATGATAATAAAAAGATTTAAATACTCTTAATAAATAATTATGCAAGTAAGATTCATTAAGAGTATTAAATGATTTCACATTTTAAATGACAACATTTTGACTTACTTTCCTTGTATCAGATTATTTATCAAGAAATGTTTCTCGCAAAAAAACTGCAATATTGGTAGAAAACAATGGCTTTGTTCGGTGAAGAGCTAAAAGTTATAACTGCTAGCCCGATGTCTAACAACCAACATGCAGTCTGAAATGAAATCAGTCTAAAAGTAACAACTATAGCCTGTCATTATCAGTCAAACCAAACGCTATATAACAAAGTTTGGATTAGTTTTTCACAGAAAACCAACATACAGAAAACCAACATGCATCAAACAAATGTGACCAACAGGAATGGCGCACATTCATGTACCCAGAAACTTTGACAATATACACAAAATCCGCTTATCATAGCATTTAATTCGACATTTAATTCAACAGACAGCTAGATATTTCCTCTGCAATTTTATCATTCCCCTGAATTCCTCTACTCGCTAACAACCTAGAACTAGTGGAGGATGCCAACTTCAAATCTCTTGTGACCAATAACCTCCTCAAGGACAAGATTGCACCCTACAAATTCGTAGATAAAGGTCAGGACTCGGGACTCGAGTTGAGATAGTTCCACTGCTTGACAAAATGGATGTGCGGGAAACCATCAACAACCGTACAAAAGCGAGGGTAGGGTGCAAGACAAAAGCACAGCAATGATATAGGAATGATTTTACTAGGGAGTATACATTAGAGAATACAGATGCCTTCAATAGAAAGAGATACTGTACAGCAGCTTCCGACGGTGCTTGTTCTCAAAAGCAACTATAATATCGTCTATTGATTCCTCCCATGACTCAGCATCTTCAATCTAGGATTAAAAAATAATAAACAAGAGAAAAGAGCAAAAATTATCATACACGACAATATAACAAATGTAACAAAATGTGTAAACAGAGCATAATGCATACTGCTTGGCACAGATCTAAAGCAAGCCGAGCTCCTATGGCTGCCTCCTCATGGTTATCTTTAACTTCCAAGTTGATTATTAGCACAGTTTTCATAAGAACCTGATCTCGGCTGTGGAGATCTGCAATTGTTTAAATATTAAGAGAAAAAAATCAAAACTATAACAGAAATGGAGGCAGATGAAGTCATTTTAACTGAAGAACAGTATATGGTTGCATGGATCTCACAACTATTGCATGAACATCGTAAGGGAGTTATAATGATTTTAGTTCCTATCGAGACTCCATAAATGTTCAGACGAGTAAAATGTAAAACTGAAATCATTTATTTTTTGGTTGGTACAAAACTGAAATCATTATCTTAGTGAGTCAGTGTAGATAGACAACAAGGTCAGACTCAAAAGCCAAATAAAACCTCCTATATTTTCTAATAAAACCCAATTCACCACCCTAGAAATACACTAATTAGAACCAAACTACAATTGATGCCACATTACAATCTAAATCAGTCAGGTTCACTTTAAAATTGAAAAAAATAAGAGAGCAAAGAAAAAGACACAATGCCCAAGGCTAAAACCCACAAGCTGCTTTCATTTGCTTTTAAAATGATTTCATTTAATCTAAAAGGTCCTTTTGCTCAAAGGGGAAAAAAAAAAAAGAAAAAAAAAAAGGAGCAACTTAAATCTAATCCTTTGATTTTATTTCCACTCTTTTTTTCTTTTTCCTTTTTTGTTTTTAAATATGTATCTATGATTTTTCTTTTGCAAATAAAACAACAGCTTGATTCAGCTTTTATCTTGACATGAGAAAATAAAAAGATAGCAAAAGCACTATATTTGACAATAGTGAATTTTCTTAAAATAGATCTAAAGCCCCCCCCATCGTGTTACAAATATGTAAGTTTCTCAAGAGAAACAGTCCACAGTCCTAATTAACATCATATATAACTTTATCCAGCTATTAGCTAAAACACCTAAAGAAATTTTATGAAAATTTCAGTTGTTCATAAGAAGATGCAGTGACACAGAATCACAAAAACTCATGAATGAGCTTAGAAACTCCAATAATTTGGCATAAAACCTCAGGAAATGCTACTTCATTTTACTTTTCCTATTCCATTGTCTTCAGGAGCTAATAAGAGGCCTAGAAGGTGTGAATAATAATATTTTATTGTTACGATACTCTTGCTTGAAAATACATAAGATCTATCGGAAACAAAACATTTTAGGCCAAAACCAGTCTTAATTACCAACACAAATAGCAGGAACCATAAAGCCTCATCAGCATTGTATCAAATTCAAACCTTGGAAGTTTCACGATAGACTAGTAGTCTACAAACACTTAAAAAATGTATAAAATACTAAGAATAAAAGGAATCAAATATTTAAAAGTCTGGTTAAAGGAATTCTATCAGCATGGGTACAAACTTTTTTGTTCAGTAAGGCACTTCATCTACAAGTGCAAGGTTTTATATTACCAGATTTTGGGTCTTCTTCACAAGTAAATGCATCATAAAAGTATTCTAACTAAAGAGAAAACAGTATTACATTCCATCTAGTATTACATTACTCTCCCATTCTCCAAACCACCTGCACTGTATATTTATCAGTGCTTGAGCTACTCTAAAGTCAAAACTGTTTACAAGTTTAGGAGAATCAGGACTTACACTTAATCAGTTAACCATGTCATAGGAAAAAAAATAACTTCACCATATTCAATGAAAATTATGAAATGATGTGAGAATTTTCAGTAAATATAATGGTATAAATACAAGAAGATTGTGAAACAACAGGAAAAACACATCAAAGTAAGTCAAATTATCATTTAATTGTTTCACATGGTAATTAAGTAAACTGTTAATCAGAATTCATATGAAGCTAGAGCACAAAGGGATACAAAATATCAACCTTCAACAACCATATCGAAAACCTTTTCCTCAAATGTAAGCACGATGTCAAAGGAACCGTCAGCAGCATTGTCTTGCCATCTTTGTGGTGCCAATTTGACAGATGAGTTCCTTTTAAGCATTGGCAAAATGCCATTGCGCTTATATCTGAACTCTGATTGAGGATTCGCTTTCTTTTGCTTTAGCATCAAATTGGATTGATTTTAAAACAAAAGCATGTACACCCTTATATTACCCACCCAAACAGAACACATGCACATGTGCTTTCAAAATGACACATGAGTCGAGTCCATGAGTTAACTCATTAAACCCTCTTTTCAAAATGACGCAAATATCTTCTAGAAATTGAATCCAACATACCGAAGAACAAAGAGTTAACAGGTCTTTATCAAATGAAGTAGAAATAATTGGCCAAACTAACACTATCTAAAATAGTGAATCTAAGATTGCTTGGTTTTTGCAGGAAAATAATTAACTCATATCCTGGGAATTGACTGGCCTAAAATTCCGTAAAACTAACTAATATGTCTTCTAATTTCCAAAATTTTCGCAGCAGCCAAATAGGGGTTAACAAAAAAGTACCAATAACATTGCCCAAAAAAGTAATAACCAAGAGCTGAGATTGAAAAGAGGGAAGGATACAGTTCGGGGTCTTTCCGGCGGAGATCGTCGAACATCTGTTTGTACGGAGTTCCAAAGTCGTAGACATTTGGTTCCCTAAGGGAGGGACCGGGGAGCTTGACGTGAGCGCCTGTACCATAGGAGGAGACGTCGAAGCCCTGCTTCTTGAGCAGGGAATGTGCTTCCATGCTTCGGTTCTGATTCGATGAGCAGACCATGGCGTAGCGGTATTTCATGGTAGGCACAAAGGATGCTTCTCAGCTTTCGGAACCCAGAGAATCGAACTGTCTTGAACGGTTTCATCAATCTTTTTAATATGTTTGGCAAAAGTATGGAAAAAGGTTCTGAACTTGCACAAAATTCTTAATTTTGGACCCAAACTTCAATTATACTCAATTAAGGTCTCAAATCACATGAAATTCTTAAGTAAGGTCCAATTGGATGGAATATTCTCTTGCCATCAAATGTCTTGGATGCCCATTAACTTTCTGTAACTCTCACAACCAACTAGATTGCCACATGAGACAAAAAACATGCTGACTTGTCATTTTTAATCCCACATGGATTCTTTTTAGGTAAAATTTTCCCTTAAAAACAAATGGGACCCACCAATGGCCTTTTTGGTCTTCCAAGCTCTTAATGACTTGAGTTTTGTCAAATTGCGGATAAAATCCTTAATTTCAACATAATTTTTCCAAGGAACTAGATTCGCCTTTTATCTCCTCTGATCAAGTTTCAATGAAGGAACAAACCAGTAATTAAATTAGGGTTCCTTGTCGTATTGTTCCCTAATTTCAATTGCAGTATAAACTAGGATTTGTCTAGGCTTGTTTTTTTGCGCTTTCCTTGTAATTTTCTAATCGAAGTGGGTCTTGAAAATGAAGGAAGAAAAGGTAGAGGCAAAAGGGGAGGTAGAGGTGGAGGCAAAGTTGCACCTAGCTTAATTGGCATCTTCCGTTTGAGAAACCAACAAAATAGGGGAAATTTTGGGGTTATTTTGTCTAAAATTCTTGTTGAAATGCTTTCCTTTTCTTGTTCTGAAATCAAGATGAAGTCTGGGGAGCTTTTCCAAGAAAAAAAAGGATGAAGTCTAGGGCTTCATGTTTACCATCTACCTCTTCTCTTCAACCATCCGTGGCCCAATCTAGTGTAAGGCAGACTTTTTGTGATTATGGTTTAGTCACACAACTTCATATTAGCACTAGTGACTTCAATCCTGGAAGAAGGTATTGCAAATGCCTATCTTGGCAACTTAGTAAAGGTCATTATATAATTCTTCTTAAAATAAATTTAATTTTGGGTTTATTTTCTTTTCAATCTTAGTTTTGAATGGTGCAACCTCTTGTTGGAGTAGAAACTTGCATTCTTTTTTAATGGATTGATCATGAATTATAGAGTTGGTACAAAGACATGTTCAACAAACTTAAGAATGAAAAATGAGCTTTAGAGAATGAGAATAAGACATTAAAAGCAAAAACATTTATGCCAAATAACAGGTGAGCTTTTAAAATGGAAGCATTGATTTGTAAAAGAGAAAAGGATCAAAGATGCATCAATGTACTGGACATCAAAGGAGGAATGCTTGAAAAAATAAGAGAGAATGAAAGCCTAGATGCAGTTAGTTTAAACTTTTATAGGACTACTTTTTTTTTTTTTTTTTCATTGTTTGTCTGCTTTGGTTGAAGTGAGGTGCAACAGAAGATGACCATTTGGTTTAGGTCAAGTCATGCCCTTTGGGCAATATGTGTTGTCTTTGATTTGCATTGTTAGATGACCAAATGGTCATTTTATAAGGTTCAATAGAAGGTGGTTATTACTTTTGATTTGTCAATGTAAGATGACCAAAAGGCCATTTCATTGTAATCATAGTTTCTAGAAATGAAAAGTGTTCATTTTGTACAATTCTTACATTTTCTAGAAGTCTACGTTACATTAAAGTTACAATATATGCTATTATAGATAATTCTAAATATATCTATCATAACCACTTAGCTGCTTAAACAATATACATAGTTTAGATAAACTAGCAAAACACTGAACTAAATAAATAGAATGCCATAATGACATAATACATAAACAACATATAACACTAGAATCTAACAAAATAACATAGTTGACATAAAAAACCATAATAGACATAAACTCCATAAACAAAGTTTAACTACAAATAATCCATTACAATGCCTCAAATTTCAAAATAACTTATCTTGACTTCATCAACATTTTGATCAACATGCCTCCCCCCCCCTCCAACGTACTATGAATTAGGATCTTGGAGGAAAAATGCACCATAGAAAAATGTCAAAATTTTCTCACCCATTTTGTAAAATCAAATTTAATAACTTAGATTAATACACTCAAACACCATCTCACACATAGCTATAGAAATTTAAAATTTAGTACTAGAATGAAGATATCCAACAACCAACTATGCATCCCATTAATTGGAAAAATGAAAAAAAAAATTATAAAATTCATCTGAACCCAAGAGAAAACGATAAACAAATCATGTAAAACAACTCGAATCATTAAACAATTCAAAGTAGGACCAAATGTTTGTACCTAAAATTAGAAACCCACAAAGAATCTATGAAATTTGTGGAGCAAAGACCCCACCACATTGTTGGAATTGAATCTCACTTTCCTCAAAAGTCACGTTCACTAGACAAAAGTGCCAAGAAAAAGAATAGTGTTTTTTTGGGTCTCAAAGAGTTGATTAATCTTGGAAGCTAGAGAGATTTGGAAGCTGGAGATATTTAATTGAGAGGGAGAAAAGTTACTAACTATGAAAAAGGACAATCGAGTTGGAAAAGTGGAAAATGTCCCACCTAAAGAGAATCCACGCAAGATTAAAAATGACAAGTCAGCATTCTTTCTCGTGTGGCAATCTAGTTGGCTGAGAGAGTTATAGATAGTTAACAGGCATCTAAGACATTTGATGGCAAGAGAATATTTTATCTAATTGGGACCTTATTTGAGAATTTCATTTAGTTTAGGACCTTAATTGAGTACAATTAAAGCTATGTCTGAAGTTGAGAATTTTGTGCAAGTTTAGGACCTTTTTCCATACTTTTGCCTTTAATATTTTGGGCCTAAAATGCTTATCGAGCCCTTGGGCATCTCTGGGCCTATTTCTTAAAATGAGAATAATATATCGACAATAACATGTGGAATTCTAAATCTAGAAGATGATATATTGTTATATAAATAATACTTTTTACGTAGTGTTTTACTTATGTATCAATTTATCTAATAATATATTACATTTATTAAATATCACATTATAATTATAAATTTACCATAAAGTTATAAAAGTTATATTATAACTATAGCATTCCTGACTTTTTAAAAGATAGGTTGGGGTAGTATGGTAAATAACTCAAACAAGAAGTCTCTTGTTAATCAACTCTTCCAATGTTAATGGGTTCAGATTCGGCAACTAAAAGGCGAAATTCCAAACTTCAAGTATGCGGTAAAGACAAATTCACCCTTACTTTAAATACAAATCACCTTATTAATTAATGGAGTTGCTCAAATTATTTTAAATTTAATTGTTCAATATCAGTTTATTTGTTACTGCCAGCATAAATAAAAGGTTAAAGTTTTAAACTTCTAATTTGGTTTCTCTATTACTATACAAATCTTTGAGTTAATCATTGACTTAAAAAAATTCTTGATTTTATCCTTAAAATTTCTAAATTTATCTTTAAATTGATTCTTCTATTAAAAAACAATTGATGTATATGTTACTTGATCACTACATGTCAGGATAATAATGTGATACATTAACTATTAACTATTTTTTAATAAAAGGATTAACTTGAAACCAAATTTAAAAATTTTAAGAATTAAATCAAGAATTTTCTTAATTTAGGAACTAATTCATGGATTTAAACAATAATTGAGGGTGCAAGTTAGGGATTTAACCTAAATAAAAAGAGCATGCAAGGAAGGAAGTAATGAAAAACTGAAATGTATGGAAGTAATGAAATATGTCGTAGCAGTTAAATTTTAGTTTATTCGTCCAACATAATTAGTTGGGGTAATGAATTCATAGGTTTAATTTGTCGGCGAATGTGTCCCTGCATCATACTTGAGGGGGGTATTTGTGGGTTTGGCCTAAATAAAATCTTGGTAGTTGGCCGCAGATTTCCCTGAAATCCCACCCGTCGACGAACCAGGTCAGTGGTCCGACGCGTTTCCTGTACAATACACTGTCAAAAGAAAAGCCAATCCCTATTGCCCTATATCTCCATTTCTAGGGTTTATCTCGAGCTCTTTCAAGGTACTGTTGATTGTTGAATCTGTAACCGGGACAAGTTCCTTTTGCGTTGGTATTCATCTATTGTAAATTTGTTTCGGCTTTGCAGACCTGACTATGAACGCTGCAGCGGCGACTGTGTTTCTACCTTCTACCGGTGTGCACCGCCCTTTGCACTCTGGTCTCCGATCAGCTGTTCTGACAGCCAATCAACCCTATTTTCTGCGTTTCGGTATTAGACCTTTTAATCCGGTTAAGGTATAGACTTTTTTCTTAAAAGTTTAAATTTTTATGCGTTCCTTTTCTGTCTCTGTATTTCTTCGATGCTTAAGTGCTTGATTTCTGTGATTTTCTATTATGTGTTTGTTTCGTTTCAATTTTTTTTAGATTTCTTTTTTTTTTTTTCCCCTTGTTCTTGTTTAAATTTTAGTTGCACAGGCATCTCTACTTAGCATGCATGTTTAATGCCTCATATATATGCTCTTACGGATATAACATTTTCTTGAGAACTATACATGGTATTTAAGCCAGTGGTTTGGTATTGCAGCATTACTCTTTAGCTTTGCACCCGAAGTTGGTGCATAGGAGAGTGGCTTTTGAGGGTAGGAGAGGCATGGCGATTAGGGCATCATTGAATCCTGACTCGGCTGAGCCTGAGCCCGATCCTGCTGCTTCAATTGCTCCACTTCAGCTAGAGTCACCAGTTGGGCAGTTTTTGTCTCAAATCTTAGTCAGCCACCCGCATCTTGTGCCTGCAGCTGTTGAGCAGCAGCTTCAACAGCTTCAAACTGACAGTGAGGCTGAGCAGAAGAAGGAAGAGCCTTCTGCTTCAGGCACTGACCTAGTTTTGTACAGGTTAGTCATACGTATCTATATTATATATATCAACAGCATTAATGACTGATATAGATGTGTTCAGAATCTTATGGAAAATTTTTAAATTCATTGCAGGAGAATTGCCGAGGTGAAAGCCAATGAACGAAGAAAGGCTTTGGAAGAGATTTTGTATGCTTTACTTGTACAAAAGTTTATGGATGCTAATGTTCCTTTGGTACCAGCAATAGCACCCTCTTCTTCAGACCTTTCTAGTTGTGTGGAAACATTGCCAAGCCTACCTGAGAAGCTCGAGCAGCTTCACTCACCTGAAGCCTTTGAGATGATCCAGAACCACCTAGCTCTTATTTTGGGAAACCGGTTAGACGATATTACCTCTGTGGCACAGATAAGCAAACTTAGGGTTGGACAGGTGTATGCTGCATCAGTGATGTATGGGTACTTCCTAAAGCAAGTTGACCAACGGTTTCAGCTTGAGAAGACTATGAAAATTCTTCCAAATCCGTCTGACGATGGAAGTAATATTAGGCAAGCTGCTGGTGAGGACAAGAGGCCCAGTGGTGTAGGGGACTCCCATCAATCTGTCTCATCACACCCTGAAGCCTCATCCTGGTCTGGTGGAATCAGTCCTGGGGGTTTTGGTCATGGTTTAAAGCCCTCTAGGTTACAGACTTACGTGATGACCTTTGATGGGGAGACACTGCAGAGATATGCGACAATAAGATCAAAAGAGGCAGTTGGCATCATTGAGAAGCAAACTGAGGCATTGTTTGGAAGACCAGAGATTGTCATAACGCCTAAAGGAACTGTTGATTCTTCCAATGATGAGCTTATTAAGATTAGCTTTAGTGGTCTGAAGAGACTTGTTTTGGAGGCTGTGACGTTTGGTTCTTTTCTTTGGGATGTTGAGAGCTATGTGGATTCAAGGTACCATTTTGTTATGAACTGAGTTATGTTAAGTTTTGTTTCTGCTATAGCAAAGTTTCTAGTGGGATGCAGCTGACTAAACTACTGCAGTACAATTTTGCAAATTTGGTTATCTGCATTGAATAATGTTTGCCTACTTATTGTTCTATACACTTTTTTTTATAGGAAGAAAAAAGGCTTATTGACTTATGATTATCCTTGTAAAATTTATTTTATCATTTCTCAGTGACTTATGAACTATCATTTAGATTCACTCGGCTTCTGATTCACGATGTTCCAGTGATTTTTATCTTTTTATATCATTCGGGAGGCTGAGGGAAAGTTGGTATTTGAAAATTAGTTCTATCTAGGGGTAACAACTAACAAGCACTTGGCTAAGTTTGGGTTGGTGATGTTCTAGGGTTCCTAATTGGAGTCACTGTTTTACTTTACCTTACGATGCAACCAAGGTTGGTTATCATGTTGCATTATTATGTTTATACTAAACTGCCTGCTGTAAACAGAATTTGATGAAAATTTGTCCCGCCATGTGAAGAAGATTATTAGGGGTTGTTAGTCACTTGGATTATGGTGTATATTTTCCATAGCTGCAGGGCTGCAGCCGTGTATGATGTTTGTGGCTGGCTGAGTACCTCATGTGATTAAAACATTCAAATAGGTCTTTGGTTAAGGTTTGATTTTCACTGCAAACTAAAAGTCTGGAACCTTGAGAAATTATGTTGTCATGAGGATAGCTATGACCGGATTTTCCCAGCCAATGAAAAATGACACCTCATAAGCACGTATTTCTAATAAAAAAATGGCATTATAGCTTAAATGACATCTAAACAGGAGATGAAGAGCTCTCTGAGATATCATCTTATAGGTTGGGAACCACTAATGTTGGCTGAGATATCAGTATCTTGTGAGAAAGCAAAATTTTTACTTGAAACTGTGGTCTGGGCCACGAAGATAACCGTGCTAAACTGATCAATTTTGGTCAGACTGGCTCAGTTCTTCTAATGTTTTGGTTCTTGAATTTTTTAGCCATATGGTTCCTGGTCCTCTACTGTAGTTCTGGACCCCCTGGTTCATTCTTATGAGGTTTGAGGTGAAAATTAGGGTCTTCAGACTTTGTTCGCCTATTACCATGCATGTCTTATTCCATGCTTACCGGATAGGTGAACTCTATTTCACAGATGAGTACTTGCTTGCTGGATAGGTTTTCTTGACACAATGGTAGACCTACTTGATCTAACCTTAATTTAGAACTAGTGATTTGACATAGTTTTATTGCAAAATGAATCCTACATAACAACACTGTAACGTTGCTTCGATAAGTTTGTGCTATGAAGAACCTTTCCAGCTATATCATGGAACACAATCTTGGCATTGGTTGGGTTGAGTTGCAGAGACATGAATCCTTGGCCGTCATAGTAAAATTTTAACCCCTCTTGATTTAGATCATGGTAATCACCTTTCCACGCCTTTGAACCCCCTCCACTGGTTAAGAATTGCATAGAGCTGCATGCATTAGAAACCAAAATTTCGTTAGCGACTTTGTTCCTGAAAAGCTGATTTGAAGGCAAGTCTTGATCATCAGTACCTTGTGTTGCTACTTATGTGTTGCAGGCAATGGTCATGCCCATTTATGTACAAATCAACATCATTTGCCTGGAAATCAAGATGAATCAAGCTTCAATATTGCTCACTTGAGGTGCTTCGATTACCCTTTAACAAGAAAAAGGGATGACATATACCTCGAGTATTGGTAAAATCCGTGTTACAAGCTCCCTGGTTTCGCCATGATGGCCGATGCTTCTAATGGTATGATGCCCAATTACAATTTTCCAACTTGCAACTGACAGCTTCAGTGCTGATTCCAAATCCTGTTCACTTCCTTATAGTCAGCATTGCGCTCAAATAAGAAGAATCTTGTTTTACTTTTTACATATGTTACCTTCAAAAGCTTTGTCAGGTATTTCTCCCTCGGAAGCACTCCTCTCCAGTCATATTTGTGGTGCTTTGTCTTCTCAAAGTACTTGTCAACAAATGGAGTAGTGTCGACAAAGAAAATTTCCGCAGTCCCTGATAATTATATAAACACAAAGAAATATTACAATCCTGTTAGAGTTAAGTTGTAGAAACACCAACAAACATGTTTTTCGTGTATTTGACCTGTATTGACAATGTAAGATCGTAAGCAAAGCCATCTTCTGTCTGTCCTTCTCAAGATGGTGCTGAGCTGTGCCTTGGTGTTTCCCCTGTAATCGTGGTTTCCCAAAACTAAAAGGAAGTATGGTATCATGTTAGATATGGACATGAAAAGCGTTTTTGTAATTGTAACTGATGGAAACTATAGGTGACGTTATTCTTACCAGCATACCATTGCTTTTGCAGGCTTTTTGCTGTATAAATATCTGTAAATGAGTAGAGAAATGCAGGGTCATGGATACCACGCAGTCCATTCTCATAAAAATTGTCTCCAGTTGACACCACGAAATCAATGCTCAGTTTTTCTCCCATGCTTCCCATCTGCAAGCAATTACATGAACCATATTGACAAATTGATTTAAATCATTTTATGTGAAAACCAAAGAGAGAATGAGAAGACCTGGACTGCTACTTCGGATTGATTGTAAGTTCCTCTTCTTCCCCAGTCACCAATTACCAGGAAGCTGAGCGACCCATCAGGTTTGGGAGGATGTTCAAATCGCCGAAACTCTGCGGAGGCAGAGACGTAAAAAACTACCAGCATACAGCACAGTGAAGCAACAGAGCTACTTAGTCCAGACATGTTTATGAATGAACCACAAGAGACGCAGAAATCATAGTTTTATAAATAGTGCTAATTGAATTCTATCTCACGGAAGCAGACAACCGAGGAGAAAGTAGTTGGATGCACAGCAGCAATGCTAGGAAACTTCTCGTGCAGCTTCGTGTTTAGTATCAAGTTTTGGCATATTGTCTTCAATTGAAGTAAGGAGATTCACGTGGCTGTTTCAGGCATTCACATGTTGGACTGCTACTTTTTTTACTAGAAAAACTGCTTTCAGAATTGGTACATGGCCAAACGTACACTTGCAGTATTATTGTATGTCCTTAATGGATGCTGAGCAAAATCGGAATAACATTGCAAATATAATACAAGAAGATCTAAAAAATTCACGATATCTTAACAATTAAAATGTTAGGAATGATAGGAGACTTAAATAACCCTAATTAATCAACACGCATGAAAAATTCATTTAAGGGTACTTGAATAATTTCATCGGTACATCACTTTTCTCATAAAACAAACTATACAAGAGGTAATCAGCTCCAACTTGAATTGTCACAACACTCAACTAAATTCCATTATGGATGATGGCGATACATTCTACATATCTTATATTACAGACACCAACGACAACATTATTTCACTGGAAGGATCTGAAAATGCACTAAGGAAGTTTCCTTCCTTACAACCATATCAGCTTTACTACATTTCAGTCGCTCAAGAGTAAAGCATCCTGTCCCCATCTACAAAGTAAAGTATTCTTCCTCAATTCATAAACATAGATGCAAAATAAAAAGAATTATCATGAATAAGAACTACCTTCACAATGAGGAAAGTAGTTCATCATCCATGTCTCGATGCATCATCATGTAACTGCGCTGCTCTCACACTGGGGTCATCCTGCCATAATGGATAAAAGGACACCAAAAGGAAATGGAAAAGAACAATGTAAGGAAGTCCTGTAAGCAAAAAAGCAACCTAATTAGATCATAAGTACCATGTTTAGAAGACTAACCCTAATGTAAAAACCATGTGTTCGGAAGAAGTCCATCTGCCCCTGCAAGAATGATATGCAGTATTTATAATGTGTCACATTCAAACTTGCTGATACAAACAATTACAAACAGCACAATTTGATACTGTACCATTGCAGGCATTGTTTGCTGAGTCCCATAGTAACCATCTGGGTTTGTTGGCATTGTATTCAACTGTCCCTACAAACATTGTATCAAAAAAATTATAAAAACTTGAAACCCTATTTGAAAGAGTAGTGCTTCATTTATGATGGAATCTGGTTGGATGCACATTTTGGTAAAAAATTTGTCACATACCACCCCCTGAATACCCTGTTGATTCCCATAATAATTATCCCGTGGAGCCATTAAATTTAGTTGCACCTGCCAAAAGCAAAAGCCACAAATTGGTACATAAAAAAGGCATTATCAAATATCAAAGAAATTAAGCAAATTAGAGAAATCTTACCATTCCTTGGACACTCTGTTGTGTCCCAAAATAGCCATCAAGGGAAACTGGCCTCGGGCTCAATTTATCCTGCAAAAATAGAAATCACACAAGAGAAACAATCATAATCTGACGTAATTTAAAATATAATTGCATGAAGAATTTTTCTTCACTATTTTACCAGCTACACTTTGTAGTATTATTTGGTATCTTATAACATTACTATATCCTCTAGTAGGCTGATTTGTGAAAAAATTACTAACCACTTGTTGCAAGCTATCTTGTGCCCCAAAATTCATGATCTCCTGCTCTGAATTCACCTGCAGTTTACAGAGAATGTAATCTTCAAGGGAAGAGGACATTTCACCAACATATGCATACAACAAAAGCAACCACAAGCTTACCTTTTTTTTCTTGGCAGGGTTCTTTTTCTTGTTTGTCTTGCTTGTACTTCTACTTTGGTTATCTTCTTCAATGCATATCAAACCATGTGTGGGTGATGTAACAGCTTCTACAAGACTCTTGTTAGAAGTGTTTACACTCAAACAATTTCCATAAGCTTCTTCTAGGGCACGGAATGCAATGTTGTAGCTCTCCTGGGATAAAGATCCCTCTTCACTCAATTTCATTGCCCGTTCACACAGACCATTGTACCGGTGAATCCTAGATTGCACCTGTTCAGATTCTTCTCCAAACAAATGCCTGCCCTTTGCATCTTTAGTCCACCTTTTCAGAACATATTGAGATGGGATGGCAGAGAGACCATGCATCTGGAGAACAACCATTGCATGTCTGCAGAGATAACCTTTGTATTCATACAATCGGCACATACAGGAAACTTCTGGCTTCATTTCAATCAAAATAACAACAAAGTCCTGGTTCTTTTCAAAATCTTGAACTCTGAAAATACAGCTCATCTCATCTTGGTTCTCCTTTTTGGGATGACAAGCAACTGCACCCAAAACTTCAACTTGAAACTTTTTGAACACTGCATGTGTATATACCCCTGCAACACACTTCTCAAAAGGTGAAGGAGATTTCAGTGCTGGTTGCTTGTTCCATGTATCAGAATCAGCTTTTGCTTCCTCCTCATACCTATCTTGTAAAATTGCTTCATACTGTTTCACAAACTCTTGCACAGTGGTTTTCTTATGCACATACTTGTCAAAGAAGGAATTTACACTCTCAGCTCGCTGGACTGTAGACATCCCAGCCAATAGAACGTCCACCATGTAAGTTGGAACCCATTTTTCACGATCTTCATACAATGACTTCATCCATTCATCCTCTTTCAGTTCAAATCTATCAAGAATTTTCCACCATCTTTTTATAAACTCTTCATCTGTACATGACCTATAGATGCATTTCTCAAATTTTGCCATAAAATTTTCATGCTGCTTCATTACATGACCAAGATTTTCAGAAATCTTTCCCAGAACATTCCATAGAAAAAAGCAATGATGAGCATTTGGAAAGACTTCTGAAATAACCGATTTTAGAGCCTTATCTTGGTCAGTGATGATGACTTTAGGAGATTGTCCACCCATTGCTCTCAGCCAAGTCTGCATTAACCATGAAAAAGTTGAAGCACTGTCATCTGATAGCAAAGCACAGCCAAGCAACATGAATTGATAGTGCTGGTTCACTCCAACAAATAGAGCAAGAGGCATTTTATATTTGTTCCTAATGTAAGTTGTATCAAAAGACACAACATCACAGAAACTACTATAGTCATGCCTACTTTTGGCATCAATCCACAACAAATTTTTCAGACGCAGATCTTCACCAAGATCTATAGCATAGAAGAAGTTAGAATTCATATTCTGCATTGCTGTGAAAAATTCTAGCAAAATCTTACTGTCTGCAGCTTCTAATGCCAAATTTCGACCCTTATCAAAAGAATTTTTAGGATCGTTCTTGAGACCAACCACATTTTTATACTCAGCAAATTGTCTAGCCATTGCAGCATACATTCTCCTGGTCTGTTCACTGACAGCCTGTGCAGGTAGAAGCTCATGGTTATGCTCCTTAACAAAACTGTGGATAACCCATTTGCCATCTGATCTTCTCTTCACATGCATGCTTGCTTTGCAGTCTGTCTTCAAGCATGATCGTCGACCAGTTGAATTTTCTGGATCTTGCTTGCTTTGTCTCGCACGTGGCCGGTTATAAGATTTTTCATACTCTCGCTTGGTTCCATACCTAGAACAGGCAAATTTCGCATCAATAAATTCTCTCGATGTTTTTGAACGACGACTGTTTTGTATAGCGGTGTTGAATCCTATAGACCGTGCATATTCTTGATAAAAGGAATATGCTTCCCCATGAGACTCAAATTCCATACCAGAAAGTGGCTCAAGGTTGGTATCCTCTTTGAACAGTCCCATATCCACAGCAGAAGAATTCAAATCCTCACCATCATCAGCCCGTACCACCTCTCCAATACCCATCATGTTTCCAACATCTCCATTATGCAGTTGCAGTTTTTCATCACCATCAAGCATGCTATCATCTATTCCATTATGTATTTCATCTTCCTTACATTGTTCACCAGAAGGCAACCTAAGATCTATGTCCATGATGAGAATTTATTTGATTGAAGATACTTCCTCTTATTTCACCTGCATATAGAAAGTTCTTAAAATCCAAACCACCATTTACAAACAGAATTGTCACAAGAATCATATAATTAGCTTGTTCAAAGACCTATAACACTCCTAAGTTCAAACTAATCCTTGTAGGTGTAACTAAGAAGCAAACAAAAATAAAAACTTCAGCACTTCCAATAATATATATGACTGCAACTCTCACGATCTACTGACACAGCAGAATCTTTCAGCATAGACATCATAGAACCCTCAATTATAATGCTCCAAATTGTAAAATTTGAGTCTTTGTCAACCCAACATAGATATATAATGAGCATCATGAAGCCATTAAACTTTCCCCATTAGCTGTAAGATAAGTAATAAGCTTCAGCAGCTCTGTAAATGATCTTTACGGTATCTAGAGAAACAATATTTTCCCATTAAACAATGTTCAGAAATTTAAAGTTCAATTTTGATCATTTCCCTTCATTGTATCCTCTAAGAAGACAAATGGGCATCAAACAATTGCTATTGTCATCCTCACAAACCCCCCCTCCCTCCCCCACAAGATATATTTTTAAAGTATGGACAAATTTTCTCAGCAACCAAACAGAAAGTATGAGTATTGATTATGATAATTGAAACCCATGAATAAAATGAAATTGCAAATACGGAAAAAAGCAAATTTGGAAAGAGGGAGGGAGAGAGAGAGATAGAAATTGAAACCTGGAAGTTGAGGTAATTAGCTAGCCTGCAAAAGCCAAAGGCGAGTGGGATTAAGGCGCGTAGAGAACTGGGGATGAAGGAATTAGGGTTTTTGTTCAGGGGGGAGATTTGATTCACTCGCTCTTTCTCACTCGCGGTCGCGGTGACGCAGGAAGCAAATTTGGGGATCACGGATGAGGACCGTAACATCCACTCGCGTTCACCTCTACTGTACACATCACCCTTTTCCTCGTCTTTTGTCCGTAAATAAATA